GTCTGTTTCAGTGTTCGATTATTCGTTCTTCGAAGCTTCATTCACATCGCCCGAATGAAGCTTTAGAATTTACGTGTTAAATCCTTTCAACGTAAAAGGAAAAGGGTGGAGACAGTAATATTCGAATAGGTCAAAACGTGTTTTCGTATAAATGAATAATACGTACAAATAATTATTCAAATAGGGTACACACACGCGCGCGCGCGCACACACACACACACACACACACACACACACACACACACACACACACACACACACACACACACACACACATACACACACACACACACACACACACACACACACACACACATACAAACACACACACACACTCACTTACACTCACACTCACTTACTCACACACACACACACACACACACACACACACACACACACACACACACACACACACACTCACACACACTCACACACACACTCACACACACACACACACACTCACACACACACACACACTCACACACACACACACACACACACACACACACACACACACACACACACACACACACACACACACACACACACACACACACACATTTCTATATACACGTTGTGATTGAAAAATAATGAACACTGAACGACTAAAGGATCGTTTAGGCGAACTGACAAACAGCATGTTCCTACATCCCCCGCCGCAACCAAGCGCCCTTGTGGTTGGAGCGGCCAGGTGGCGTCGCTTCTTGACTCCGGACTGGCGTATATATTACAGCTTAACTCTCACGCAATATCACAGGCAAGTTTACGGAACACCGATCTGTAAGGGAACAATACCCTCCCTACACTCCTTTATACTACATGTATGTGTGTGTGTGTGTGTGTGTGTGTGTGTGTGTGGGTGTGCGTGTGCGTGTGCGTGTGCGTGTGCGTGTGCGTGTGCGTGTGCGTGTGCATGTGCGTGTGCGACATGTTTTTGTGCATACACATTGTGAAACAATCTAACTAAAATATCTCTTTTCTTAAGAGAAGTATATAATCTTCAGCTTCGAAGAAAATTCGAAATGCCCATTTCGATAGAAAATTGAGATACTTCTGAAACAAGGGAGGTTTATACTCTCTCTAATGACATTGTTATTAACTGAAAAAAACACCAACACTCAATCTTTTAATTATGACAAAAAAATTGTGCCAAAGATGGCTTAAACAGTGAATTAATTTCTCTTTAACGTAATCTGGTTATTCATGACTGAGCAAATTGTCACATTCGGACACATAAACAGTATGTTGTACACAGGCACACTCGGGCCTATACGTGTAATACTCCAGCGGATTTGCCAGATGTTTCTTTTTGTATTACTGTACTTGTGTGGGTGTGTCTGAGCATTTGTGTATGTGCATTTGTGTGTGCATTTGAGTGTCTGGGCATTTGTGTGTCTGTGCATTTGTGTGTGTGTGCATTTGTGTGTCTGTGCATTTGTGTGTGTGTGCATTTCTTTGTCTGTGCACTTGTGTGTGTGTGTGTGTGCATTTGTGGGTCTGTGCATTAGTGTGTGCATTTATGTGTCTGAGCATTTGTGTGTGTGTTCATTTGTGTGTGAGTGCATTTGTGTGTGTGTGCACTTGTGTGTCTGTGCATTTGTGTGTCTGTGCATTTATGTGTCTGAACATTTGTGTGTGTGTGCATTTCTGTGTCTGTGCACTTGTGTGTCTGTGCATTTGTGTGTCCTTGCATTTGTGTGTCCGTGCATTTGTGTGTCTGTGCATTTGTGTGTCTGTGCATTTGTGTGTGTGTGCATTTGTGTGTGTGTGCATTTGTGTGTGTGTGCATTTCTGTGTGTGTGTGCATTTGTGTGTGTGCATTTCTGTGTCTGTGCACTTGTGTGTGTGTGTGCATTTGTGTGTCTGTGCATTTGTGTGTGCATTTGTGTGTCTGTGCATTTGTGTGTGTGTGCATTTGTGTGTGTGTGCATTTGTGTGTCTGTGCACTTGTGTGTGTGTGTGCATTTGTGTGTTTGTGCACTTGTGTGTGTGTGTGCATTTGTGTGTCTGTGCATTTGTGTGTGCATTTATGTGTCTGAGCATTTGTGTGTGTGCATTTGTGTGTGTGTGCATTTATGTGTCTGTGCATTTGTGTGTCCGTGCATTTCTGTGTCTGTGCATTTGTGTGCCTGTGCATTTGTGTGTGTGTGCATTTGTGTGTCTGTGCATTTGTGTGTCTGTGCATTTGTGTGTCTGTACATTTCTGTGTCTGTGCATTTGTGTGTGTGTGCATTTCTGTGTATGTGCACTTGTGTGTCTGTGCATTTGTGTGTGCATTTATGTGTCTGAGCATTTGTGTGTGTGCATTTCTGTGTCTGTGCACTTGTGTGTCTGTGCATTTGTGTGTCCGTGCATTTGTGTGTCCGTGCATTAGTGTCTGTGCATTTGTGTGTGTGTGCATTTCTGTGTGTGTTTATTTGTGTGTGTGTGCATTTCTGTGTCTGTGCACTTGTGTGTGTGTGTGCATTTGTGTGTCTGTGCATTTATGTGTCTGAGCATTTGTGTGTGTGTGCATTTCTGAGTCTGTGCGCTTGTGTGTCTGTGCATTTGTGTGTCTGTGCATTTGTGTGTGCATTTATGTGTCTGAGCATTTGTGTGTGTGCATTTATGTGTGTGTGCATTTCTGTGTCTGTGCACTTGTGTGTCTGTGCATTTGTGTGTCCGTGCATTTGTGTGTGCATTTGTGTGTCTGTGCATTTGTGTGTCTGTGCATTTGTGTGTCTGTGCATTTGTGTGTCTGTGCACATGTGTGTCTGTGCATTTGTGTGTCTGTGCATTTGTGTGTCTGTGCATTTACGTATCTGTGCATTTGTGTGTCTGTGCATTTGTGTGCCTGTGCATTTGTGAGTCTGTGCACTTATGTGTCTGTGTATTTGTGTGTCTGTGCATTTGTGTGTATGTGCTTTTGTGAGTCTGTGCACTTGTGAGTGTGCATTTGTGTCTGTGCATTTGTGTGTCTGTGCATTTATGTGTATGTGCTTTTGTGAGTCTGTGCACTTGTGAGCGTGCATTTGTGTCTGTGCAATGGTGTGTCTGAGCATTTCTGTGTGTCTGTGCACTTGTGTGTCTGTGCATTTATGTGTATGTGCTTTTGTGAGTCTGTGCACTTGTGAGTGTGCATTTGTGTCTGTGCATTTGTGTGTCTGAGCATTTTTGTGTCTGTGCACTTGTGTGTCTGTGCATTTGTGTGTCTGAGCATTTGTGTGTGTGTGCACTTGTGTGTCTATGCATTTGTGTGTCTGTGCATTTGTGAATCTGTAGATTTCTGAGTATGTGCATTTGTGTGTCTGGATGCGTCTGCAAGTGTGCAGTTGTTTTCATTATTCATCCATATATCTATATACAAACACATGCTCATTTATACATTACAAACTTCTACCTATGTATAAATATTCACTTGAACATTTACCGATACGTCTATACACGCTAGAAAATCTCAAAGACCAGTATCAGCATCCATAAGGAATCAGTTAGCTGGGTGCACACGATAAAAGGGAACCATTGACTTCGTGATGAATATTTTACATTATGTTCTGGAGTCGGTGAATAAATCTGCAATGTTCGCCACGGCCAGTAATGCTACTGTCGAGATTTCACCGAAAATGGGAGGTAAATGAGAGAATGAGAGAGTGGGTGGGTGAAAAAGAGAGAGCGAGAAAGAGCGAGAGAGAGCGAGCGAGAGAGAGAGAGAGAGAGAGAGAGAGAGAGAGAGAGAGAGAGAGAGAGAGAGAGGGGGGAGCGATAGAGAGCGAGAAAGAGCGAGCGAGAGAGAGAGAGAGAGAGAGAGAGAGAGAGAGAGAGAGAGAGAGAGAGAGAGAGAGAGAGAGAGAGAGAGAGAGAGATGGGAGAGAGAGAGAGGGAGGGAGGGAGGGAGGGAGAGAGAGAGAGAGAGAGAGAGAGAGAGAGAGAGAGAGAGAGAGAGAGAGAGAGAGAGAGAGGGAGAGGGAGAGGGAGAGAGAGAGAGAGGGGGGGGAGGGAGAGGGAGGGAGAGAAAGAGAGAGAGAGAGATAGGAAAGGACTTACAACGGATTCAGGAAAAAGTAAAAGAATAGAGCGCGGGAATCCTTAACGTTATAACTTCTGTGTTTTCAATTCCCTTCCTATTGTATATTGTTGAGAAGTAACCTTCCTTTCTTCTCCTTCTTCTTCTTCGTCTTTGTCTTTGTATACATCTTCGTCTTCGTCTTTTTCTTCTTTTCCTTCTCTTTCTTTCTCTTCTGATCCTTCTCCTTCTATCTCTCCCTCTCCTTCTTCTTCTTTTCCTTCCTCTTCCACTTCCACTTCCTCTTCCTCTTCTTTTCAACTTCTTCCCCATTTCCCTCACCGCAAGAATAACGGTCACTATGGCTATAGGACTGCACCATATCCTACCGTCTTCCTGCACGTGCGAAGACATTAAAAAATCATGTGTTACGATGCGACTCTTCCAGTCTGTGAATTAATCTAGTGACATCAAGAAAATTAAAAAAAAGAAAATTATATATATATATATATATATATATATATATATATATATATATATATATATATATATGGCGTGGAAAGGCTTTTCAATATAATATTCCATGTATGAATATCTTGCAAAATTCTTGTCTCTTCTTCGTTCAAGAATTTTTAAAAATGGTTTAACATAGGTGTTTAATTCATTACTACCAGTGCATTTCACACTCGAGACTTAGAACCAAGTCAAATAACTTAATAAATGATGCATGTCAACGAAAAGATTCACAACCGTTCAACGAACTATTTCCATGGCGATGTGTTCAACGCCCTGCCAGAAGCGAAGCATAAAGACATGCCCTCACGTCCGTACACAAAAAAGGGACATCTTCACATCCCTACGTTTCACTCAACCACCATTTCATCTCGCTTCAAAATAATCCCAGACCGTAAATACAATCTGACATTTTCTCTTATTAGTATCAAGAACTCTTCACCTCACTCATCCTCACAACCATCACCTCATTTTCTTCTTTTTCTTTCCCCCTCTTCTTACACACCTCACAATTTCCTGACTCGGATACTCACACCACTGCACTCTCAACCGCATGTCCGTGACGCAACTGGGAGGTGAATCTGTCAGACTCTCTTTCTGTGGCCATGCGGTGGGAACTACGGACGGACCCCTCTGCCAGACGAACGACTCGCTCATGTCCTAAGAGGAAAATCACTCCCGGTTTCTTCATTTCAAAGGGTATGGGATTGTCACCTGGTAATCGGCTGTTGACTGG